TAATATTGATTAAAAATGTTTAAGTTTTCTGTGATTCCCAATATTCTGGAATTTAATGTGATAAACACTTATGGAAGGTACCTTATACTAATGGAACGTTTTTCCTTTAAATTATTACATTATTAACATGATATATGTATTATTATGTATAGTGGTGCTGTAACAAACCAGTACCCATTTTTCTCAGAGAATAATTAAACTTTACGTTGTTGAGATTTGAAAGAATCCTATGTGTTAGGTATGTTCACAATATAAAAGTGCTCATTAATTGGCTTAGATAAATAAATTAAATAAGAATATTATGAAACCCCTCATATGTAGCTTGCTATTCTTACTTTTAAACTTGAGAATATATTAATTTAATTCAATTTAAAATAACAGAATAGAATAGATAATTCTGAACCTAAAATTTGTTATGCTATATATTAGTAAGGTGAAAACCACACATGTGAGTATGACATTATCTGAAAGGTGTTTGAGTAAGTATATACAGCCGCTTTTTATGGGTTTTGTTATTTTTTCTTTTATGATTTTAAAACATAAATTACTGTTTTATATTAACAAATAGGAAGATTAAAACATAACTAATATTATCTATAGTATTATGTAAAAATATTGTTTTTAAATRTTGAATTGTCTCATAGTAAATCAAATATATATTTCAGATCCATTTCATTTAAAAGAATATACTCAATTTAATGAAATTGAAGATAAACTAACAACACCTGTTAAACGTATTGAAATGGCTTGGAAACCAAACTATGACGTAGTTGCAATAGGAAATTCAAATGGGTATTTGGGATATTTTAATATAAATAAAGCACATTTATTAACAGGTTGTCTTTACATTTTTTATTTTTTGTTTTGTTTTAGGAGCATTTATTTATTAGACGGAAATACATTAAAACTTAAACATGTAGTGAATGGTCATGATCAATCTGTTGAGTGTATTATCTGGCATCCAACACATGTAACTTCTGATTATAGTGAAGAATCTAAGTATAAAAACTATTTTGCATCAAGTTCACACTGCATTAGAGTCCACCAACTTAATGAAGGTRCCTATTTATTTATAATTTAAATTTAAACTTTTTATTATTTCATTTAATTTTCCAGATTGTAAACCATCATTGGTTGTTGAATTTAAAGGACACAAAGAAAAAATCAATGAATTAGCATGGAGCCCTCATCATAATTTAATACTTTTGAGTTGTTCAAATGATTTCACGGCTAAAGTATGTTAATTTTTGGCCTATTATTTGATTATATACTGGGTGATTCTTTTATCATAGAACACTCATTATTTCAAAAAATATTAATGTTTTTKAAAATATTATTTTACATAGTTTCAAGTTTTATTAAAAAATTATATTTTTAAATATTTTTTATCCTTATCATTTTTTTA